CTAGACTCGGATTAAAAAGTGTTTCTTTAATTTTTTGGAGCAGTGTTTATATATATACACAGTATATATATCATTGGATTCAGGTGTTCCAATCCCCTCCATGGACACAGGTGTATACAATCAAGCCCCTAGGCATGCAGGCTGCTTCTACAAACATTTGTGAAAGAATGGGTCGCTTTCAGGAGCTCCGTGACTTTAAGCGTGGTCCCGTGATAGGTGGCCACCTGTGCAATAAGTCCATCCGTGACATTTCCTGGCTACTAAATATTCCACGCTCAACTGTTAGTGGGATTATAACAAAGTGGAAGCAACTGGGAACAACAGTAACGACGTAATAGGGCACGTAAAATGACAGAGTGGGGTCATGGACGTGTCTGGGTTTGGCGGTTGCCAGGAGAACAGTACTTGCCTGACTGCATTGTGCCAAGTGTAATGTTTGGTGGAGGGGGGATTATGGTCTGAGCTTTTTTTTCAGGGTTGGACTTGGCCCCCTAGTTCCAGTGAAGGGAACTCTTAAGACATGAGCATACCAAGGCATTTTGGACAGTTTCATGCTCCCAACTTTGTGGGAAGAGTTTGGGGATGGCCCCTTCCTGTTCCACCATGACTGCGCACCAGTGCACAAAGCAAAGTCCATAGAGACAAGGATGAGCCAGTTTGGGGTGGAGGAACTTGACTGGCCTGCACAGAGTCCTGACCTCAACCCCATAGAACACCTTTGGGATGAATTAGAGCGAAGACTGTGAGCCAGGCCTCCTCCCCTGACATCAGTGCCTGACCTGACAAATGTGCTTCTGGAAGAATGGTCCACCTTCCCATAGACACCCTCCTAAACCTTGTGGACGGCCTTCCCAGAAGAGTTGAAGCTGTTATAGCTGCAAAGGGCGGGGCCAACTCAATATTGAACCCTACAGACTAAGACTGGGGGGCCATTAAAGGGTTGTGTGTGTGGAAAGGCAGACGGTCCAATACTTTTGGCAATATAGTGTGTGCATATACAGTTGTGTTCAAAATACTAGCAGTCAGACATCACTAACCGGATCAATCCCTGTTTTTGGTAGAAATGATATTTCTACATGGCAAATAATTTCCTAGCAGGTGTAGTAGAGTAATAGAAATCCAACAGACCCAACAGTCATGACATGCATGCTGCTGATTCTGTGTCATCGAATCACTCATTGAAAGGGGCGTGTTCAACATAATAGCCGTGTGGAGTTCTATTAGTGAGGTCATTCATTCTTTGAAAAACAGGTGGCAATTATTGCCCTTATTTAAGGAAGGAAGGCAGCAAATGTTGGACATGCTGGTTACAGTGCATTTCTCTCTGAAATTCTGAGGAAAATGGGTCGTTCCAGACATTGTTCAGAAGAACAGCGTACCTTAATTAAAAAGTTGATTGGAGAGGGGAAAACATAAAAAGAAGTGCAGAAAATGATCGGCTGCTCAGCTAAAATGATCACAAATGCTTTCAAATGGCAACCAAAACCTGAAAGACGTGGAAGAAAGCGAAAAACTACCATTCAAATGGATAGAAGAATAGCCAAAGTGGCGCGGGACTCAGCCAACAATCAGCTCCAGGAAGATGAAAGAAGGTGTGACGTTCCCTGTGAGGACTGTTACAATTAGAAGACGCCTATGTGAAGCCAAGCTATCTGCAAGAAGTCCCCGCAAAGTCCCACTGTTGGAAAAAAGACATGTGCTGAAGAGGCTACAATTTGCCAAAGAGCACATTGACTGGCCTAAAGAGAAATGGCGCAACATTTTGTGGACTGATGAAAGTAAGATTGTTCTTTTTGGGTCTAGTGGCCGGAGACATTTTGTCAGACGACCCCCAAACACTGAATTCAAGCCACAGGACACTGTGAAGACAGTGAAGCATGGTGGTGCAAGCATCATGATATGGGGATGTTTCTCATACTACGGTGTTGGGCCTATTTATCACATACCAGGGATCATGGATCAGTTTGAATACATCAGAATACCTGAAGAGGTCATGCTGCCTTATGCTGAAGAGGAAATGCCCTTGAAATGGGTGTTCCAACAAGACAACGACCCCAAACACACCAGTAAACATGCAACATCTTGGTTCCAGACCAACAAGATTCACGTTATGGAGTGGCCAGCCCAATCCCCAGATCTTAATCCAATAGAAAACTTGTGGGGTGACATCAAAAATGCCTTTTCTGAGGCAAAACCAAGAAATAGAGAAGAACTGTGGAATGTGGTCCAATCATCCTGGGCTGGAATACCTGATCACAGGGGCCAGAAGTTGGGTGACTCCATGCAACACAGATGTACAGCAGTTCTCAGAAACAGTGCGACTACAACCAAATATTCATGAAGTCATTCAAAGGAAAGCAAAATCTTCAAACATTTCTCAGTTTATATAGTGAATGTTTGAGTTTGTAAAGAAGAATACAAACACTGCGATTTTTTGAACCGTCTAATATTCACTTTTCTTCAATTTTTTTAGAGGAACAACACAAATTTGATCTATTTTTCTTCATGTTTTGATTTGGAATAGAATGTGTCGTGTCCCCAATGCATTTGTGTGGATGGAAATAAAAGCTATTAGAAGGATTTTCACCTTTTTTCACTTTTTTCAACACACGGCTATTATTTTGAACATAACTGTATATACAGTGGGGCAAAAAAGTATTTAATTGTGCAAGTTTTCCCACTTAAAAAGATGAGAGAGGCCTGTAATTGGCATCATAAGTAGATCTCAACTATGAGAGAGAAAATGAGAAAACAAATCCAGACAATCACATTGGCTGATTTGGAAAGAATTTGTTTGCAAATTATGGTGGAAAATAAGTATTTGGTCACCTACAAACAAGCAAGATTTCTGGCTCACAGACCTATACCTTCTTCTTTAAGAGGCTCCTCTGTCCTGCACTCATTACCTGTATCAATGGCACCTGTTTGAACTTGTTATCAGTATAAAAGACACCTGTTCACAGCCTCAAACAGTCACACTCCAAACTCCACTTTGGTGAAGACCAAAGAGCTGTCGAAGGACACCATAAACAAAATTGTAGACCTGCACCAGGCTGGGGAAGACTGAATCTGCAATAGGCAAGCAGCTTGGTGTGAACAAATCAACTGTGGGAGCAATAATTAGAAAATGGAAGACATACAAGACCACTGATAATCTCCCTCGATCTGGGGCTCCACGCAAGATCTCACCCCGTGGGGTCAAAATGATCACAAGAACGGTGAGCAAAAATCTCAGGACCACACAGGGGGACCTAGTGAATGACCTGCAGAGAGCTGGGACCAACATAACAAAGGCTACCATCAGTAACACACTACGCCGCCAGGGACTCAGATCCTGCAGTGCCAGACGTGTCCCCCTGCTTAAGCCAGTACATGTCCGGGCCCGTCTGAAGTTTGCTAGAGAGCATTTAGATGATCCAGAAGAGGATTGGGAGAATGTCATATGGTCAGATGAAACCAAAATAGAACTGTTTGGTAGAAACACAACTTGTCGTGTTTGGAGGAGAGAGAATGCTGAGTTGCACCCAAAGAACACCATACCTACTGTGAAGCATGGGGGTGGCAACATCATGCTTTGGGGCTGTTTCTCCGCAAAGGGACCAGGATGACTGATCCATGTACAGGACAGAATGAATGGGGCCATGTATCGTGAGATTTTGAGTGCAAACCTCCTTCCATCAGCAAGGGCATTGAGGATGAAACGTGGCTGGGTCTTCCAACATGACAATGATCCCAAACATACCGCCCGGGCAACGAAGGAGTGGATTCGTAAGAAGCATTTCAAGGTCCTGGAGTGGCCTAGCCAGTCTCCAGATCTCAACCCCATAGAAAACCTTTGGAGGGAGTTGAAAGTCTATGTTGCCCAGCGACAGCCCCCAAAACATCTCTGCTCTAGAGGAGATCTGCATGGAGGATGGGCCAACATACCAGCAACAGTGTGTGCCAACCTTGTGAAGACTTCCAGGAAACGTTTGACCTCTGTCATTGCCAACAAAGGATATATAACAAAGTATTGACATGAACTTTTCATATTGACCAAATACTTATTTTCCACCATAATTTGCAAATAAATTCTTTCCAGATCAGCCAATGTGATTGTCTGGATTTGTTTTCTCATTTTGTCTCTCATAGTTGAGGTCTACCTATGATGCCAATTACAGGCCTCTCTCATCTATGTAAGTGGGAGAACTTGCACAATTGGTGGCTGACTAAATACTTTTTTGCCCCACTGTGTGTGTATATATATATATATATACACATACATACACACAGTATATACAGTTGTGCTCAAAAGTTTGCATCCCCTGGCAGAAATTGTGAAATTTTGGCATTGATATTGAAAATATGACTGATTATGCCCAAAAATTTTCTTTTATTGAAGGATGATGATCATATGGAGCCATTTATTATCAAATAGTTGTTTGGCTCCTTTTTAAATCATAATGATAACAGAAATGGCCTGGATCAGAAGTCTCCGCCCCCGGATCAAAAGTTTCCCTCCCCTGGAATGTTTGGCCTTGGTACAGACACACAAGGGGACACACACGGGTTAAAATGCCAAGTAGAGGTTAATGTCCCACATCTGTGTCTTTTTAAATTGAAATTACTGTCAGTGTATAAATAGTCAATGATTTCTTAGCTCTTACGTGGAAGCACTGACTAGGCTAGATACTGAGTCATGGGGAGCAGAAAAGAACTGTCAAAAGTCCTGTGTAACAAGGTAATGGAACTTTATAAAGATGGAAAAGGACATAAAAAGATGTTAAGGGTGTATTGGGTGGGTTCCCTGCTTACATCACTTGACTAAAATATCACAGTACACAATAGCACATGCATGACAGGATCAATGATGTAATGCATCAAAAACAGTTTTTGCCTTAAGAGAAACAGCAGTTTGCCTTTGACATTTACGGGATTTGGTCGACATAAAGTAGTCCACTTGACCAGACCCCGCCAACAAGGTTTTCGTTGATATCGCACAGTAGGAGTCTTCCACTCACCTGGTCCAGGAATCCACCCCCTATGGTCAGGTATGGTTGTGGGTAGGTGGCAAATATACTGGCAGTTTCCAAATCCCCGGTTACGGTGAAGTTCCCCCCGCAGTAGTTGTGTAGGGCCTCTGTCAGGAAACAAAGTGATATTATTAGACTCACTGAAAATCAGTTTAAAGTTATGTTTTGTTTTTTTCAAAGCCATATCAGTGAGTCCACATTTATGCTAAACACAAGTTTTTCTTTAAGTATAAGTCAGGGCAAAATAAAAAAAAAAAACAACTGTAGCGCCCCTCTAGATAGCCAGGGTCGGCTAGTTCATTTTTTTTTAGAAAGAAAAGCTGAGTAGCAGCCTGTACATGAGTCAGCCTGGTCATTTTAAGTCAGGTCTGAGGGCTCTGCAGATCAGTTCCCTGATACCTCCCCCTGCTCTAGAGACTTGAGAAGTTTCTGGAAGGCAGTGGACAGGGGTGAGGAAAGGATGATCTGCATACTTAAGGGACCCTGACCAATCCCCAGGCAGGAGGTGTGGCATGGGGTGAGGACAGCCTTTAAGTATGACCAAGCCTGTTTAGTAGTAGCAAAATTAAGTGAGAGGCTGGGATACAGGAGCCAGGGAGGGGGCAAAGTGGAAAGAGGCCTACCTCCAGGCAGAAACTGAAAGGAGGATCTCTCAACCTCAGCAGTCCCCTGAGAGAGGACTACCTGTGCAGCAGAGAAGGAGCCAGCCCAGCGGAAGGCCTGGGGGCAGCTACCAACCCAACAAGCTCATGGGAGTGGAAGAGTGAGTACTCCTACTCCCCCCTAGGCCGGATGAGGGGAATGGGCATTCAGATGGGAAACCTGACTAGCCCACATCTGGGACCATTTGATTTAGAGAGACAGGTTCTGGGTCCCCTTGCCCAGGGATTCCCCCAGTACAGCTGAATGATGGGAGGATTCACCTGGGGACTGGGATGGTACAGTAGGCGAGGCTGGAGAGTTCTGCAGGAAGAAACTCCTTTTTGCTGTACAGAGACTTGTACATAGTTGTTAAGGAGTTGTCCTCAGTTTGCCGTACCCTTGGGCATCCCATACACCCCTCAACCCAATCCAAGTTCAGTACCCCTAATAAAACATAAAAAACAAGCTCAAGGACTGTTTACTGTCTCCAGTGTGCAAGGAGAAGATGCGTGTTGCCTGGCTGTGCGGGACTATAAGGGGACCCAAAAACTCAGCGACTCTTAAGGGGGTAGTGCTACACAACGTAGCCGTACATCTCTGCAGCACATGCATATTTCTCTGTTTTATCCCTTTAACCACTTGAGCCCTGGAAGGTTTTAACCCCTTCATGACCAGACCATTTTTTTTTTCCTTTTTAGCACTGTGCTACTTTATTTAACTGGTAATTGCGCGGTCATGCAATGCTGTAACCAAATTAAATTTCTATTCTTTTTTTCACACAAATAGAGCTTTCTTTTAGTGGTATTTGATCACCACTGGTTTTTTTATTTTTTGCAATATACATGAAAAAAGACTGAAAAGTTTGAAAAAAACAACCCAATATTTTTTACATTCTGCTATAAAACATATCCAATAAAAAAATTTTAAAAATCACATTTTGGCCAAAATGTATTTTTCTTCTGGTAAACAAAATCCCTATAAGTGTATATTGATTGGTTTGTGTGAAAGTTAAGGCGTCTACAAACTAAGGGATATTTACTGGATTTTTTTTTTTACTACTAATTGCGGTAATCAGCGACAAAATTGGACTGCGATAGTGCGGCGGGCAATCTGACACTAACTGATGCTAAAAAGAACTGACTAACTGTCACTGACATCACCAGTGACACTAATACAGTGATCAGTGATAATACTATGCATTGTCACTGTACTAATGACACTGACTGGGAAGGAGTTAACATCCAGGGCGATCAAGGGGTTAAATGTGTGCCTAACAATGTGTAATGTTTGTATTGTGTGCTGCTTTTACTAAGACCACTATTTGTTTCTCAACGCTGCTTTGCAGGGATGAGAAATAGATCATTCTCTTCGTACAGAGCCCTGTGTTGATGGTCAACACAGGGCTCTGGGCTGTGATTGGACACAGCCGATCAGCAGGTCCCAGGCAATGCATCACAGGCGGGGACCTGTTGACAGACTCCCGACAGCGAGTGTTGGTGGGGGGCGCACATGCGCACGTTCTACACAAGGAAGCAGGCAGCAATGTGCCAGTTTGTCACTGTGTCTGCACAGACTAGTTCAGGTGGCAACCAGGGATTTCCCCTCACTTCCTGTTTTGGCTATGGAACAGCACGTTAAGGAAAATCTCCCCAATGGGACACAGATGGCAAAGAAAACTGACAGGGGTCATACCCCCCCCCCCACCTTACACTATACAAAATAAAAAATGTCCCCAGTTCTACTTTAACCACCACCCCACCCGCCGTATAAAGAAATGATGGGCACAAGGCGGTTCTCTCGTTCTGGGAGGACGTCACATGATGGCTCCGGGGGCACGCAGCGGTCGCGATTGGTGGAGCGCTGTGTCCACCAATCACGGATCAGCGGAAGGAGACGATGACGTCGGCTCTGTCATGTGATCAGCTGTGTCCATCGGCATTTCTCTCCTCACGAGCTGTCACGCTGACAGAGGAGAGGAGAAGAGAGCCGGTAATTGGCATTACTCAGAGGGGACATGTACACTGATCATCAGGGCATATGGACATGATGGCATCACCCCGTTGCTGCAGATTTGTCAGTTGCACATCCATGAACCGTTGATACAAGGCAGTATGGATCCATGCCTTCATGTTATGCCAAATTCTGATCCTACTATCTGAATGTCGCAGCTGAAATCCAGACTCATCAGACCAGGCAACGTTTTTCAAATCTGTTGTCCAATTTTGGTGAGCCTGTGTGAATTGTCTTCTGTTCTTAGCTGACAGGAGTGGCACCCGGTGTGGTCTTCTGCATACCTTGGTTGTAACGAGTGATTATTTGAGTTACTGTTGACTTTCTATCATCTTGAACCAGTCTGCCCATTCTCCTCTGACATCAACAAGGCATTTTCATCCATACAACTTCTGCTCCCTGGATATTTTCTCTTTTTTTGGACCATTCTGTGTAAACCCCAGAGATGGCTGTGTGTGAAAATCCCAGTAGATCAGCAGTTTTACTCGGATCCAAGCTTTCATGTTGTGTACACCAAATACTGACCCTACCAGCTGAATGTCGCAGCGACCAGTCTGCCCATTCTCCTCTGTCCTGTGACATCTACAAGGCATTTTCATCCAAATAACTGCCGCTCACTGGATATTTTCTCTTTTTCGGACCATTCTCTGTAAACCCTAGAGATGGTTGTGAGTGACAATCCCAGTAGATCAGCAGTTTTTGAACTACTCAGACCAACCCGTCTGGCACCAACAACCGTACCACGCTCAAAGTCCTTTACATCCCCTTTCTTCCCCATTCTGATGCTCGGGTTTGAACTTCAGCAAGTCGTCTTCACCACGTCTAGATGCCTAAATGCATTGAGTTGCTGCCATGTGATTGGCTGATTAGCAATTTGTGTTACCAAGCAATTGAACAGGTGGACCTACAGTGGCCGGTGAGTGTAGATCGGGCATAGATCCTTGACAAGGTTTTCGTATTGACCCTGGGGGTCCCAGCATACTTTACTTTCTTGTGTTTTATCCTGATATTATAGTATTATATTCCCATTGTATAAAGGAAAAAGAGAATAATCTCGTATATGGAAAGGGTTTACTCGTAGGAATGCATCCCGGGGCTCAGTGGCAAGCGCCACTTATGCATCTTACTTCCTGGATAAGGGATTCATCAGGCCTTAGTATTACCTACCTGACTGGAGGCTGAGATGACGAGGGCTTTCCAGTACCACCACTGGTCTAAACACCCCTATAGAGAACAGGGAGCAAGAGGGCACAAGGTGACATGGGCGCCGGGAGTCCTCTCCAAGGAAGTTCAACTTTGGAGGCATTTTTGGCTATGAGGTGCTTGTGTAGACCAACAGGACGTTAGCTGGTTGGGACACTGAAACACATAGCAGACTGGCAGCCTGGTCAGGACAGGTGGTGGTCAGCAACCAAAGAGACAGAAAGCAAGGAAAGTTGTGGTCATGAGGCAAGCTGAGGTAACACTAGAAGGTCAGTAGAAAATTGGACCAGTGAGTGAGACCCCACTAGAAAAGAAGTCCTCAAGAGAACATGTTCTCTTGAGGACTTGTTTTCTAGTGGGGTCTCACTCACTTGTCCAATTTTCTGCTATATTGTTTCAGTCCTGAGGACACCACCCCTAGGATTCGGGTGAGTCGGCATATTTATTATATATCTTTAGTGGCAATTTTACATGCTGGGGAACCCATTTTGGTTTTTTGCAACACTAGGAGGTCAGCAAAGGTAAGCATAGTTGGGGTTGACTGAGTCCAAACAGGAAAACAACAGAGACAAGACATATTCAGGGTCTCGCTTTGGCTCAACAAGGGAATCAGCAGAGACAATCCATGAACAGGAACTAGGTAAGGTCAGTAGAAAGGAAGAGAAAAGTCCAAAGGCAGGCCGGGTCAGCAAAAAAAAAGTAAATCTAAGGGACAGGTTCAGGGTTCAAGTCACAGGGTGTCAGGGTTCTGTCCACAGCAGAAGTACTAGAGACCTGGCACTCCTGCCAGTACCTTGCATGGCCGCAGAGGTGCACGTTGGCGAAAATCTATGCACATTTGCACACGGAAGTTAGCCAGAGCAAGCATGCGCACGCATTGACTCAGTTTGGTGCCAGATGGCCTTTATAGGGAGGCTCATTTCTCCCTCAAGTTGCTGGTTGATCTCTGGCTCCACAGTACCATTGTCCATGTTCCCTTGTTATCGTGATTTCCTGTTACCAACCCGGATTGCTCTTGGACCTGTCTTCTCTGCTTGACTCCTGACCTGACCCTGGCTTGGCTAATGGATATTCCCTCTTGCTCCTCTGTGTATGACCCTGGCTATCCTATTGACTATATCTGCTCCGATCTCCACCTGGCACTTGACCTTGACTTTGAACCGACTATCCTGTGGTCCTCGGTTTCCCTGAAGGCATGCATACCTCTCGTGGGTGCCACCTGTCTGCAGACTCCACTTCAGTGCATCAGTTG